CTGATTAACCTCCCCCCTAAACCATAGAAATAACTTGTTATGCACCTTTAGTTCTCTAGAAACATTTACGGCTGTTCCTCACCACAGAAGGAACCAATGAATCTGATTGGTTGGACTGAAAGGCTTACATTAATATCAATTGACAATGATGGAACATTCAAGAAAGCCCCTAATCTCTAAATCCTGATTGGTGAGACCTGTAACTGTAACTTGGCAACAAATGTTTGTGAATTTTATGCTTATAATCCCTGATTCTGCCCCTGCTCGGGGCTGTCAGGAGAAACAAGGCTCCTGAGTCCTTGTCCCGAAGTCCTGATTGGTCAGTGACCCGATTATGTGGTGAATTACTAAAATCTTTGGAACCCATAAGTGTTTTCTCTCTCCTTCTTTGTGGCTCATGACAGGCTAAGTGTAACACCCTGGGGCTCACTGGCCAGCCAGGTTAGCCGAATTGGTGAGCCCCAGATTCAGTAAGAGACCTCGTCTCAAATAATAAGATGATACCTGATGTCAATCTCTGCTTCCACATGTACACCCTTGTAAATGAGCACCCCTGACACACATGTACACATGAACATGTACACACAACCATGGCACACACAATTCTCATTGATACTGATCATCTCAATATCTCTAGTTCTCTCTCTCTCCCCGGTCCGCCCCCCCCCCCCCCCCCCCCCCCGTTCTTTTGAGACAGAGTCTCTTTACATGACCCTGGCTGTCCTAGAACTCACTATGCAGACCAGGCTGGCCTCAAACTCAAAGAGACCTACATGCCTCTGCCTCCTGAGTGCTGAGGCTAAAGGCATTTGCCAGCAAGCCTGGATTTTCTAATTCTTTTAAAAATTTTTATTAATTAAACAAAATGTATAGAAATGAGTTTGTGTTTGTACAGATGGCACCTGAGGAGGCCAGCAAAGGACTTTGAATCCTTGTGTGCTAAATTGACAGTTGTGTGCTGCTTGACGTGGGTGCTGGGAACCAAACTCAGGTCCTCTGTAAGAGTAGCATGCACTCTTAACCGCCGAGCCATCTCTCCAGCCCCTTTTTCTTTTTGAGGCAAGGTCTCACTACGTAGTCTAGGCTGGCCTAGAATTTGCCTCTTGCCCCAGGATTGAGTGTTGCGTTCAGGCTTGTGCTACAGTGACCAGCTCTTGCTAATGCCTTTCTTGGCTGCATTCATTTTTTTTTTTTTTTTTTGGTTTTTCGAGACAGGGTTTCTCTGTGTAGCTTTGCGCCTTTCCTGGGACTCACTTGGTAGCCCAGGCTGGCCTCGAACTCACAGAGATCCGCCTGGCTCTGCCTCCCGAGTGCTGGGATTAAAGGCGTGCGCCACCACCGCCCGGCGGCTGCATTCATTTATTCCATGGATTTTGTTCTTTCTTTTTTGTTTTGTTTTGTTTGCTTGGTGGTTTTGTTTGTTTTTGTTTTTTGTTTTGATATTTTTAAGACAAGGTTTCTCTGTGTAGCCTTGACTGTCCTGGAGCTAGGATCAGTGGACCAGGCTGGCCTCGAACTCAAGAGATCCGCCTACCTCTGCCTTCTGAGCGCTGGGATTAAAGGAGTGCGCCACCGCCACTCTGCTTCTTTATTTCGTTGTTGTAGTTTTCATCCTCATCTTCCATTCAGTTCTGCTGTGTGTCCTCTGTGGTGTGAGGGCGGGGACAGGATGGGAATAGGAGGTGAGGGAAGGTAGGAATATCCTATGGTAGAAAATCCCACAACAGCCAGAAGAGGTGGTGCACGCCTCTAGTCCCAGTGCTGACAGAGAGGCAGGTGGATCTCTGTGAGTTTAAGGCCAACCTGGTCTACAGAGTGAGTTCCAGGACAGCCAGGGTTATATAGTGATATCCTGTCTCAAAAGAAAAAAAGAGCCCATAACACACCAAGAACTCACCTCTAAACAAGTTCAGGGCTTTCTTTCTCCTTCTGGGCAGAACACAGAGTAGTAGAAGGAAGTGTCCCTTGAATGACGGTTGTCCAGATATGGAGGTTGGAGGGGATAGCTCTGGTCAGTCCAGTCCATTTTCCCAGGACGCCCTCCACTGCAGCTGAGGCTCTGAAATGATGCTTCTCTTGGCCCGGAGGGCCCCAGGGTCCACCTCACCTCAGAAGGAGGCCAAGCCTCAGTTATACCAAATGGAGGAATTCAAAAGAAAAGCAGGTAGGGGATGATGAGAGGGTGGAGTAGTAGAGCCTCACCCCTACCCGTGTCTGCTCAGAGGAGCTTCCTTCTCCTGAAGATCTGTGGGTCCTGACGTCAGCCTGCTGGCCCTGTCCTCTTATCCCGGGAGGAATTAACAGGAAGTGTTGACCTTGACTTCACCTTTGACCCTTCAGTGTAGTCAAGGAAGAACTTTGATGAGTGAGCGGCCTCCTTTAGGCTGGTCTAGAGCTGGACACTGAGACTCGGTCTGGGCCTGCTCCTCCCACGGTCAGGATGCTGGAAGGAGGTGCCTCTTTGGCAGAAAACGGTATGTACCCAGTTCCAGACCACGCTTGTGAGTTCTTCCTTGCTGGCTCTGCTCAGACACTGCGCTCTCCATCTCCATCTCTCTCTACACCCAACCTCCCCATGGAGTTCCTTGAGCTTGGTCCTGGAAACTCTTCTCCTGGTGGACTGTTGTCACTTCTTTCTTTCTTTTCTTTTTTTTGGGGGGGTGGGCTGGGGTGGGGTTTTGGGACAGGGTTTCTCTGTGTAGTTGTGTAGTCTTGTCTGTCCTGGATCTCACTCTGTAGACCAGGCTGGCCTCGAACTCACAGAGATCCGCCTGGCTCTGCCTCCTGAGTACTGAGATTAAAGGCGTACCACTGCCTGGTCTTTCTTTCTTTCTTTCTTTCTTTCTTTCTTTCTTTCTTTCTTTCTTTCTTTCTTTCTTCCTTCCTTCCTTCCTTCCTCCCTCCCTCCCTCCCTCCCTCCCTCCCTCCCTCCCTCCCTCCCTTCCTTCCTTCCTTCCTTTCTTTTGAGACAGAATTGCACTGTGCATGTAGCCCAGGCTGGCTTTGGACTCAAGACCTTCCTGCCTTTGTCTCTTGAGTGTTGGGATTACAGAAGCATGTGGCCTTACCTGGCTTATTTCTGCGGTTTAAATAGCTCCTCTTGTTAAATGCAGCGTGGTGTCATTTCAGAGCTCGACGTCCCTGAACTTCAGGATGAGATAGACAAAGAGTTCGTTAAGTTGGCGATGGCAGTTATTTACCCAACAACCTGTTTCACTGAAATGAAGCTCAAACTTGGCGCAACATTGAATTCTACACTCTCCTAAACCGGATCCCCAAACATCTCAGCCAGTGGCCCCACTGGAACCCGGTGTTCTGAACCCGGGTGCCAGTCTCTGCCTCCCTCCCAAAGGCGTCACAGTGCATGTGGAACGAAGGCCAAACTTCTCAGCCAAGCCTAGAAACCAACACAGGAACAGTGGAGCATTGAACTTGGGGGTTGAAGCCGCACTGTTTGGGTGTGCTGCTGGTTTTGCTGGCCGCTCTCTATGCAACTCTGGGCAAAATCCCTAGTCTCTCTGTGCCTCACTCCAGTGACCTAGAAACTTCACAGAACCATGCTATTTTTTGGGGGGGGCGGGGGTTGGCTTACACTTTACATTGTAGTCCATCATTGAAGGAAGTCAGGACAGGACTTTAGGCAGGATCCTAGAGCCAAGAATTGATGCAGAGGCTGTGCAGGGGTGCTGCTTACTGGCTTGCTCAGCCTGCTTTCTTTCTTTCTTTTTTTGTTTTTCTTTCTTTTTTTAATTAATTAATTAATTAATTTTTCTATTATCAGCTTGATACAGTACAAATTCTTATCCTAATAGTGAAATGTTTGATTGAGGCTTGCCCAGTAATTGAGTAAAACCAAAACTTATTACAAGCCACAGTCATCCTAGGGTCCCCCTTGCTCTATAGCCTCCCTGGTTCTGTGGGTTGCAGTCTGATTCAGAACCACGCTATTATCTGCTTCTTAAGAAGGCCAGTGGTGCCTCCCGTGCTGTAGGTACTTGTAAACCACTGCCTCCTTAACTCCTGCTTGGCTTCCACTCCTCCTTCATGATGCTCCAGCCACACCGGCTCCCCCTGGGTGCCTCAAAGGAGCCTTCCCAGAGTCATCAGAAACGCCCCTCTGTGTCACATGGTTAATTCCTTAGCTTCAAGCCAGTTCCAGAAAGAAGCCATCATTGACCACCCTCCTAAAACAGGTCTTCAAAACCAAATTCTTTTCTTTTGTAACACTAGCCACCGTTTTTTTTTATAGCTTTTTTATTTTTTCTAGACAGGTAGTCCAGGCTGGCCTGAAATCACTATATAGCCTAGCTGGCTTTGAACTCTCAATCTTCTTGCCACTGAATCTCAGATAGCTAGTTAATCTGTTTAGTACCTCTTACCATCACTAGACCATAAATTCCACCAGGAAGGATTTCTTGCATTGGGTTTCGTCAGAGAGGCTTGGTGCTGGGTTGTAGCTCTCTAGAGCACGGGCCTCGGACTCGCAGACTGTAACAGGCCTTGGGTTTCATCCCCAGAACCACTAACACAACCACGGGTTTGGTATTCACTACATGTTAATACACACTTAAAAAAAAACTGAATGAGGAAATAAATAAACGGAGTTTAGGCAACTGTACCCTCCACCCACTGATGCTCCTAACATTCGAATAAACGACTATGTGCTTGCTTTCTTCTTCGAGTGTCTTGCTTATTATTGTTCTAATTAAAGTTGTTTTTTTTTTAAATGCTGGTGATTGAACCAAGGGACCCTTGTGCAGATGACATGCTACAAAGCTACACCCCAGCCAGAATTATACTTAGTTTATTTGTTTGAGTGTTCGTGTATTAATAGATTCGATCGCTAAGCACCCTCTCACAGCAGATCTGCAGTACTCGCCAGAGATCACTGTGGGAAAAGTTCTTTTCATTTTCTGTATTCCGAAGAGGTGGGAGAGCTTTGCTAGGCGGAAGTGCTTGTGGCCGAGGAGAGGGCTGCACTTGCAGTTTCGCGGTGTGTCCAGCGGAAGGCGATGTCGAGACGCGGCTGCCGTGGGCGCAGGCGCAGTGCAGGGGGGTGGGGCTGGGATCGCCAAAAGCGGTCCTCAAAGCTGGACGTGGAAGGGTGAGGACATCTGCGGGATGCTTTCCACCTGAGGGATGGAAAAGCCCAGCAGAACGCGAAGAAAGTGAGAAGGATTTGGAGAGGTTTTGAAAAAAAGGAAGAAAAAAAAAAAAAAAAGGGATTTCTGGCTGCGCCCCCAAAGGTCTGGCCCCGCGGGAATCAGGCGGTCCCTGGGCCCTCCTTTGAGGGTGCTCCCTCAAATTGAGATGTCGGGGACTCCTTGGCGGGAATTTCTGTGGCGGACTCAGCTGACAGCTGTGAGGAAGAGATGCATCGGGTTCCACTCAGAGCCTGTTCCTTAGCTGTGTGACCTTTCCGTGTGTCCCCGCCCCCAACACCACTGGCAAAACCCGCAGGTGAAGCTGTCCAAATTCGCTTCAAGGCTGAGAGGGTGTGGGGCTGCTGGCAGCGAGGGTTTAAGGATCGGCTACTCTGAATGCCAGGCAGGGGTGGCTGTTAGAGCGTTCTCTCTGTTCCGGTGGAGCGGAACGCCGTCCAATCTCGTGATTTGAGAACTGGCAATGATAGAAGTTGGCGCAGGGGGCGGGGCTGCTGTCTCTGCTTACACCGGGTGTTCTTTTCTTCCAGGAGGCAGGCATGAACAGTGGGGCAAGACTGGAGCTTCTCACGGAAGGGTTCTTACAGCATCTAGAGAGCCCAGAGTATTTCCTTAAAAGAAAAAAAAAAGCAACATTTTATTTTATTATTATTTTTTGTACGTGTGTAGGTGTTCTGCCTGCATGTATATCAGTGCACCACGTGTGTGCCTGGTGCTGGCAAAAATCAGAAGGTGTTGGAGTCTCCAGAACTGGAGTTGGAGTTACAGATGCTCATGGATGCTGGGAATCAAACCCCACCCCCCTAGAAAAGCAGCCAGTACTCCTAACTGCTGAGCCATCTTTCAAGCCTCACCCTCCACCCCCCAGTGTATTTCTTAAATAAAGGATATTGAATTCAGGAAGGTTGACTGACTTGCTTGCTCGAAGCTGGATCGAGGGTCTTGCCAGCACACACCACAGCCTTTGAAAGGTTTGGTGGTGAATGTTCCTAGATCGTGTTTTTGTAACCTAGAGGAAAATAAAGTGGCTTTCTTGGCTGGGGATGGGGAGGAATGATTCCTGCTCTCCTTCAGGGTCGTCATTACCATCTTATCCAATAGACAAGGAAAATGTTTAGTCGTAATGATTGATGCCATTGTTAAATTGCCTGGAATGTACCACATGTTCATGTAAGCCTTTCATCTTATTAAAAGGATTATTCAAGGTGGACATGATGGTGCATACCTTTAATCCCAGCAGGTGGGAGGCAGAGGCAGTTGGACAGAGTTCAAGGCCAGCCTGGTTTATAGAGTGAGTTCTAGGACAGTCAGGGCTGCAAAGAGAAACCCAGTCTTGAAAACAAACAAACAAACAAAAAGGTTATTCAATGGGTTCTCAGGATTGGGGGATTTGGGATACCACAGTGAGTAAAAAGCAATCTAGTGAGAGACTCCTGAACACGGTCACAAAAATGGGATAATTTTTTTTCATATTTGTCCCATGTATTGCTGTGTGTCATGGAGGGCCTCTCTAAGGAGGTGACATTGAGTAGAGACTTAGCTGGTTAGAGGCATCACCACACTGAGGTCTGGGAGGAGATCTTCTGGAGAGAGGAAAAGCAAGTCATCAAAAGGCCGAAGTTAGTGGCCTGGGGAGAACTGGGCAGAGGCAGATGCTGCTGGGGAAGGGGGGAGAGGCTGGACCTGGGAAGGGGCTGTGCAGGCGGAGCAGGAACTATGTCCGGGACGGCTGGAGAGGAGGTGTCTGAAGGGAGGACCTCAGGACTGGTCAAGCCTGCTTGTCCAGCTCTATCCTGACCTCACCCTGACACAGGAGCTGTTGTCCCTTCCCGTGGGAAAAGGTCACCAGTGCAGATGGGACTCTGAAGTAGTGATGGAAAGTTTTGGAAAACAGATGTGCACCCCTAAGGCTGGTATTATATAACTGGTTTTGTGCACTGGTTGCTGAGGCAAGGCAGACTGAATGGTGGCCTCTTTGGTTTCCTTCCAAACACACCCTTGCATTCCTGCATCCATCCCTGCCTTAAATCCGTCACTGTTCCTGCTCCTGCTGCAGTGCCCACCTAGGACTTTCCATTCTGCCCAGTTCTGCTCTCCCCTGATCCTCCTCCACCCACCTCCTCTCAGCAGCCTCCCAGCTCAGCAGGGAACTCTGCACAACTCTGCAGCAGCTCAGCCTGTGAGTTCTCAGGTTTCCAGTCCACATGAAATTAGAGCCCACTTTGGTTTTGTGGAAAGAGCTATCTCTAGCTCACACCTGGTGCCTCTTCCTTAACAGGACACGAACAGGGCTTTCCAGTCATGTTTGAGCCAGAGTTTCCCCTCAAAAGACTTCCCAGGACCAGAGAAGTGTCCTGAGCAGATATTCAGTGACACACGTAAATTAAGATTATATTTTATTTTGGGGAATAAATGTCTTTGACTTCAGTTCCAGAGAGAGCAGACTCTTCCCGTTGGGACTCAGTTGGATGACACTTGCCCTCACACATCCCCCTAGACACGGCCTGGAAGGAAATCTGGCCCAGCTTGCTCCTTTCCTTCATGTGTGTACATCAGCCCTGTGCTGGAGAGTTTTATGTCAACTGGACACAAGCTAACGTCGTCTGAGAGGAGGGAACTCAGTTAAAGAAATGCTTTCATAATATGGGGCTATAGGAAAGCCTGTAGGGCATTTTCTTAATTAGTGATTGATGGGGGAGGGCACAGCCCATTGTGAGTGGTCCCATCCCTGAGCTGGTGGTCCTGGGATCTATAAGAAGGTGGGTTGAATAAGCCATGAGGAGCAAGCCAGTAAGCAGCCCTCCTCTACGGCCTCTGCATCAGCTCCTGCCTCTAGGTCCCTGCCCTGCTTGAGTTCCTGTCCTGACTTCCCTCAGTGATGAGCAGTGATGTGGAAGTGTAAGCCGAACAAACCCTTTCCTCCCCGAGTTGCTGTGGCCATGGTGTTTCATCACAGCAGTAGTGACCCTGGGCACTGGCTGGAAGAGACTCTGGCCCAGTCCGCTCCTTTCATCTGGGTGCTTGCATCGGCGCCCCCCCCCCAGGGGGGCAAACACTGGGTCCTCAGTTAGGTCTTTGAACTTCAGGGAGTCACAGCAGCAGCAGTGTCAGACTCTATCAAGTCTTCCTGCCCGTGGACCTGTTTGATCACAACCTAGGGAGGCAGGTGGAATGGGTCAGGAGGCTAGGGGTCTCTGTGATGTGGCCCTCTTAGAAAAGGGAAGCGATGTGTCCTGGGTCCCACTGGGATGTTCAGGAAAACTGGGTCCAACCTAGGCCTTTTACCTCTGATTTTTTTTTTTTTTTTTGAGACAGGGTTTCTCTGTGTAGTTTTGGTGCCTGTCCTGGATCTTGCTCTGTAGACCAGGCTGGTCTTGAACTCACAGAGATCTGCCTGGCTCTGCCTCCTGAGTGTTGGGATTAAAGGCATGTGCCACCACCGCCCAGCTTACCTCTGATTTTATCCCTCTGGAATTTTAACTGGAATATAGAGCTTGGGCTGTCACTCCAAAAGCTAATGAGTAGAGACAGGGATTGAATCTTTAAGATGTGCTTTAGTCAGAGAGCCAGGAATCCAAGGGGGCAGCAGATTCCCCCTGCAACCTCTACCCCGTGTGTGTGTGTGTGTGTGTGTGTGTGTGTGTGTGTGTGTGTGTGTGTGTATCACCTCTTTCACTCTTCATCATTTCTCTGGATATTCGGACTTAAGCACTTCTTAAAGTGTCTTAGTCCTGTCTACCAGTATGAACCCTGTATTCCTCCTCTGGGCTAGGGTAAGTGTGAACATGGGCCAGGCATGGTGGTGCACACCTTTAATCCCAGCACTTGGGAGGCAGAGCAGATGGATCTCTATGAGTTCGAGGCCAGCCTGATCTACAGAGTGAGACTTTGTCTCTCCTCCCTCCCGAAAGAGTGAACTTGGAACACACCAATCAATAAACCAGTATCAAACTGCTAAGGGAACTCTACATGTATGCCTGTATACCATGTGCCTGTCTGGTACTGGTGGAGGCCAGAAGAGGATGTTGGATGCCCTGGGACTGGAGTTACAGACAACTGAACTACTGTGTGGGTAATGGGTCTTCTGGAAGAGCAGAATTTCATTTTTTCTGTCCACATCTGAAAGGAACGGCTCAGAGGTCTGCTGTCAATAGCCATGCTTCTGCAGAAAGCCGACAGACAAGGGCCATGTCACAAGGAGGATGTCGACAACTGTAGAGGTGGATTTTGTCAACCTGACACAATCTGGAGTCACCTGGGAAGAGTCCCAGAGAGGAATTGTTAGATCAGGCTGGCCAGGAGCATGCCTGTGAGGGACTGTCTTTGTTATGTGGTTGATGTGGGAACACCTGGCTTAAAGGTGGGCAGGGCTGCTCCTTAGGTTTGGGTCCTGAACTGTTGAAGAGCAGAGAAATTGAGGCAAGCATGACACATGCATGCATTCTCTCTGCTCTTGGCTGTGATGTGACTTCCCTTCAGTTACGGACTGTAACAGGGGTTGGGGGCTCAAATAAACCCTTTCCCCCCTACACTGCAGAAGTAGGACAATAGCCAACATGATCACAAACTGTCTTAACAGTTGAGCTGCTCTTCAGCCCCTTCGAACAAACTCTTAAGGGGACCCATTTCACAAGATCTACAGAGAAACTTACAGGTGCAAAGTATACAATGATCACCCCAAGTTCAAATTCCATACAGTGACACGAAAATAAATGAAGGACTCTGTTTAAACTGCGAGGTTCTCTTAATATTGGTCATCTTCTGGTCACATTAGCAAAAACTGGCTTAAAACAAAAAGCGTATGTTTCATTAAAATAATCACCCGTGTCTTCTGCAAAGCTTGCTGGGGTTTTAACTACTTAGGAAACTGAGTCTTAACAAAGTCTGAGTCTAAGCATCTGTGTCTGCTAACGCCTGGTTGCTCAGATTCCTGAAAACGTTTAGCAATGGCTGTGCTAAATCATTTGCCCATTTCTAAAGAGCTTTGCCCTCATCTTTTCCATTCTAGAAAAGTCTAGTCATTCTGTTTTAGTGGGGGAAAATCACATTTTGCCATATAAAGTTCTTTTCTCATAAAAAATTTCTTCTTCTTCTCCTTCTCTTCCTCCTTCTCCTTCATCTTCTCTACCAGGAATATCCCCTCATGCTCATATCAGTCTTTACGTTTCTCTCCTACTTGATGGATTGTTTTTCCAACTTGGATTTCTTTTTAAAGTTTCTTTCACATATCTTTTTTTCTTTTTGTTTCACCAAATTCCTTTATTCCCTCTTTCTCCTGATAGGTTGATTCCTGATTGATTTCTATGACATCATCATGTGTACCACCATGCCTGGGCAAGAAGCATTTTTTTTTAATAACTTATGACTGTGGTTTATGTACATTGGTGTTTTGCCTGCATATATGTCTGTGTGAGGGTGTAGGATCCCCTGGAACAGGAGTTACAGACAGTTGTGAGCTGCCATGGGGGTGCTGGGAATTGAACCCGGGTCCTCTGGAAGAGCAGCCACTGCTCTGAACCTCAGTCATCTCTCCAGCCCCAAGAGGCATTTTTAAAACAACATTTTCATATTAAGTGGAAATTAAAAACAATGACTTTCCCCCAACTCGTGGGAATGAGGACTGGTCAGCACCAGATGTCTAAGAGCCTCAAATCTACTTTCAAGCTCCCCAACAAATCCGTTGTCTTTCCTAGAGGGAATCAAAGACTGAAGCCTCACTTAACCTTTGGAAGAAACCCAGCTGGGAGTTTCACAAATGTTACAGAATGTTACATTCCATTAAGACAACAGAGCTTCGGTGACCTTGGATAGAAATTACCTTGTACAAGCAACAAAAGATGGGACAGAAAATGCACACGAGAGGCAAAAATGTGTGTTCCTCAGCAGCTGCTGCTTTGGATGGAAAGTTACCTGCTCCCTGAAGAACTGCGAGAGTTAGAAACAGTTATATATACATCTACATATATATATATGAAACAGTTAATAGATAATGAAAATAATTATATATGTTTAAGCACACTCAGAATTGTTTCCTAGAACATGTCTCAAGGGTCTGTCTTTGGAACCCAGAGCTCTAGACTGAACCCCAGAGGACGTAACCTGGGAAGAACAGCACAGAACAGCACTTTTTTTCATTTTTATTTCTTTATTTATTTTTCTATTATCAGCTTGATACAGTATAAATTCTTATCTTAATAGTGAAATGTTTCA